TCCATCCATCCATCCCACCTGGAGATCAGGGAGCAGCCCCCAGTCTGTCCAACAGTCCCACAGCTTGGCCATGGGGTGATTTATGGGGTTGCATCTCCCCACACCACCACCATTCCCACTCCAGGGAATTCACACTTTGGATTCCGGGCTCTTGCTGGAGTTCCCCGCCAGCTTCTCCTTCTCGGGGTCTGCCTTGGTCTCCTCTGCCTTGCTGGCCTCCCTCTCCTGCCTCCTGAGGATCAGCAACACGGCCCCGAAGCACAGGAAAGCGCCCACCTCGAAGAAGAACTGCAGCCCCAGGTACCTGGGGTGGGAGCAGAGCACAGGGACAGGGGGCAGGGACAGCCCTGAGCATCCCAAACACTGTGGGGTGGCTGTTGTGGGATTGTCACACTCCAGGGAGCACTGTGGGGTGGCTGTTTAGGGATTGCTATGCTCCAGGGAGCACTATGGGGTGGCTGTTTAGGGATTGCTATCCTCCAGGGAGCACTGTGGGGTGGCTGTTTAGGGATTGCTATCCTCCAGGGAGCACTGTGGGGTGGCTGTTTAGGGACCGCCATGCTCTGAGCACTGTGGGGTGACTCTGAGCATCCCAAACACTGTGGGGTGGCTGTTGTGGGATTGCCACAGTCTGAGCACTGTGGGGTGGCTGTTTAGGGATCACCACACCCCAAGCACTGTGGGGTGGCTGTTTAGGGATCACCACACCCCAAACACTGTGGGGTGGCTGTTGTGGGATCACCACACTCCAGGGACCTGTCCTGCAGGGACTCTCTGCGCTCTGGTCCCTGCCAGGTTTTGGGATGGCACCGTGGGCTTTCCAAGCCTTTCCTGGGCACTGCTGGGGGCCCGAGCGGGGTGAGCTTTGCCCAACCCTTTATCCCGACCCCATATCACCCTGTCAGCCCCACAGCCATCCGTACCTGTGCCTGAAGCGGGTGTTGTCGTAGTACCTGCACGCYGCCCTGCGCCCGCAGCGCCGCTCCCACAGCACACAGGACGTGTCGATGGCACTGCCATACAGCACCGGGCCCGGCATCCATGCTGCGGGCACAGCCACCCCAAAACCATTGCCATCACCCCAAAAACACAGCCCTGAGCCCCAAAACCATTGCCATCACCCCAAAAACATGGGCCCAAAATCATCACCCCAAAAATACAGCCCCAAACATCGCCATCACCCCAAAAACACAGCCCCAAACATCGCCATCACCCCAAAAACACAGCCCCAAACATCACCATCACCCCAAAAACATGGGCACAAAACCATCATCCCAAAAACACAGCCATCACCCCAAAAACATGGGCCCAAACATCGCCATCACCTCGAAAACATGGGCCCAAAATCATCACCCCAAAAACACAGCCACAAAACATCACCATCACCCCAAAAACACACCCCAAACATCGCCATCACCCCAAAAACATGGGCCCAAAACCACCACCATCACCATCACCCCAAAAACACAGCCCCAAACATCACCATCACCCCAAAAACATGGGCCCAAACATCACGATCACCCCAAAAGCATGGGACAAAACCATCACCCCAAAAACACAGCCCCAAACATCACCATCATCATCACCCCAAAAACATGGGCCCAAACATTGCCATCACCCCAAAAACATGGGCCCAAAACCATCACCCCAAAAACATGGGCCCAAACATCACCATCACCCCAAAAACATGGGCCCAAAACCATCACCCCAAAAACACAGCCCTGAACATCGCCATCACCCCAAAAACACGGCCCCAAAAACATGGCCCCAAGCCCCAAAACCATTACCACCATCATCACCCCAAAAACACAGTCCCAAACGTCGCCATCACCCCAAAAACACGGCCCCAAAACCATCACCCCAAAAACACAGACACAAAATCATCACCATCATCATTACCCCAAAAACACAGCCCTGAACATCACCATCACCCCAAAAACACAGTCCCAGATACCTCCTGAGCACTTCCACGACCAGTCCCACCCCAAACATCATCATCACCCCAAAAACACAGCGATTCCCCCACCAGGCTCCATCCCTGGTGCCCCTGCTGTGCTCCCCTCCTTCCTCCACCCAGCGCTTTATGCTCCTTCCCCAGGATGTTTTTTTATTTTTTAATTTTAGCACGTTTTAACTCACCTAAAACTCTGAGCAGCATGAACTGTATCCCGACAGCAAACGACTTGTCTTCAGGCTGGATGCTCCTGGAAAACAAAATGGAAAACGTGACTTTTGCCAATCCCTGGCACGGCACCTCACTCATTTGTCCTAAAAATCCCACACTAAAAATCCCACAGAAWTCCCATTTAGGGCAGCAAAGACAAAAGAGGGTTCATCCATTAGGGTAAGCACAGACCACTGCCTTTCTGGGGCTGAAAACCCAGAATCAGCAGAGATGGGGAGGGCTCAGCTAAGCAGGGTTTTTATTTTAATCCGAGGAATCTGCGTGAGGAAAGCAGGAGCAATCAAAGGGGGGCTTTTTGTAACCCAACAAGTGATTTACAATTGAGGAAGAGGCTTTTCTGAGGTGAGAAACCCCAGTGCCCGTTCTGGTGGCACCCCAGTTTTCCAAAATCGGGATTTCATCCTGCTGGGGTCACACCTGGAAAAGGATGGGGGGCATTTGGCTGCCTGGAGAGCACACACAGCTCTGGGAGTCAAGGTAAAAATGGATTTTTAAGCCCAGCTTTTCCCTCAAAGCAGCTCTTKGGAGCGTTTTGGCCACGGAAATGTGCCTGGATGTGTCATTGATGGACTAAGGCAGAGATTCCCCCGTGGCTTAAGGTAATTCAAGTTCCTAAATTCACACAGAGCTGCCTCAAAGGAGCCCCGAGTGCTGCTGGATGGATGTGCTGAGTTAATGGTGCTGAGG